CGAGATTTCAAAAGAACAGAAGTTGTAATGATGCAATATTTACACTTAGACAATTGGTGGAAAGGACGGTAGAATTTGATAAAGAATTGCATGTTGCATTCGTAGACCAAGAGAAAACATTCGATCAAGTTAATAGGAATAAATTATGGAAGGTACTATAGGATTGCGTAGTAAATGAACATCTTAAAAAACTGCAGGAGTTTATATGCGAACAGTCAGTGCGCAGTTAGAACAAATACAGGAATGTCAGAAAAGTTCTGCATTAGATCTGGCCGGAGACAGGGGTGCGTTCTGTCACCACTACTGTTCATCACATACGTTAACTGAATTTGCAAATCAGATGACACTAGCGAAGGGGACAACATAGGAGAGTTACTAAATAAATTGCTTTTCACCGGTGACCAGATAATAGTAGCACCAACAGCAGTACAACTACAAGAACATATAACAGACTTCACTCAGAATGCAACAACTATGATATAACAGAAGTGATGACATTCTCCAAAAAAAGGAAGAGACACCAGTACGAAAATTGTTGAACACCAGTTAAAGCAGGCAAAGAAGTTCACATATCTGGGGAGCATTTTTTGAGAAGATATAAGAATTAATAAAGAAATCCCAACAAAAATGCAAAAAAGCATGAAAAGCAATTCATAATCCGTTTATTTTCATCATTGATCACTGGCATAATGAGAACTAATAGACTGAAATGGCTGTGGCATATTGGGAGAATATCAGATGACAGAGAGGTAAAACTGTATACACAAGGGAGCTGAATGGTCGTATACCATGAGGCAGGCCTGAAGGACAATTTTCAGAATACTCTTTCTGTTAGTTGATGACAATTTTGACACAGAAAATGACATGGTTGTTCCACACCATCAGTTCTCTCTCTTTAGTGAAGCTTTTTTTCATAATCAATGGTAAAGTAATCTTCCTTCAAGATCTTCCTTGATCAGCCTAGACAGTCTTATAAAATCTACACTTTGCTGCAACTTCTGCTTTCTGATGTTAGTCATTCCATCAAGATCAGCAGATGGAACAGTCTCGTTACCTACCTGTTCTTGGCTTTAATTCAGTCTTCATCACTTGGTTAAAATTGGCCAGTTCAAAAAAGAAGTATAGTGGTCAAAATTTAATTAAGCTGGAAATAGTATCAGTGCTACTAATTGATTATTGTCACTAATAAGGTGTGGTGAAATCAATATAGCATTAAATAGACAAGGATCACAATTACATAATCTGGATTTCACTGTCAACAACTCTACAATCACATCGTGTAATACAAGTAAGACATAAATCACTTGTGGGTGTGCAGTTCTCAATTAACTTCTCGCTCCTGGGTGTGACTGCAACTTTTGGACCATGCCAGAGAACAAGAAGAACCTCGGCGAGCACTCTTCAGCCCAGTTTGGCCAAACAAGGTTAATATCTTTCAGTAGATTCTGTTACAGTATTTCCTGTATGTTTGCATGTTTGTAACTTGCTGCATATGTTCATTGTTGAGTGTGTGTTTGTTTTTAAAGCTTTTATTACATTCACTTATATATGTATATATATATATGTTAATATATATATATATATATGGAAATATATGTTAATGAGGAAAGATTGGAAGTGGTGGAAAATTTCGAATATCTTGGGTCACTGGTTACCAACAATGGTGACACAATGAAAGAAATTAAACGGCGACTATCAATTGCTCTTCAAAGACTAAAACAACTGAATAAATTATGGAATTGTACAGATAGAATTACAAAGGTCAGATTTTTATAAGAGCATGCATCTTTCCCATTGCAACATACGCCTGTGAGACCTGGACACTTACTAAACAAGCGGAACAGCGCATAAATGCATTTGAATATCAATGTTACAGACAGGTTTTAAGCTCTTGGGTAAAGAAAAGAACAAATGCATCCATACCTCAGAGCTGAATATTGAAGAGGGTTGGCTAGTAAAGACATATAAAACAAAGAAAATTGAAATATTTTTGGTCACTTGAAACGTCATGGGAAGTCTAGAGAGAACAATAATGGAGGGGTATATGCCTGGGAAGAGAGGAAGAGGAAGGCCAAGGAGAAGATGGGTGCAGGATGTGGCAGATGATCTACAGATGGGTGTATCAGACGCAGGACATCTTGCTCAGGATAGGAAGGTTTTCCGGAGGGTTGTTATGGCAGCGAGGTTCCGCGAGGGACATGCTACTGAATGAATGAATGAATATATGTATATACATATGATTTGTCAGAACTTTAGATTTTTTTAACAATGTTTCCGGATAAACTATCAAACTCAAATGTTGCATACACATGCTTTGAGGTTTACAGCGCAATGTGTTGCACAAATATTCCAGTTTTTTTTTTCACTGATAATTTTTGGTGTCGAAGATAAAAATATTTTCAAGTGAATGTATTCCTGAGTTCACAATAAACACTTTGTAGTCATTTATTTTTGTTTAGACTTTTTTCCCAACAGAAGACTCCAGGCTACACCAGCCTGATGTGGCGGTTAACAGGGGCTCTAATTATAACTACTTTAAATTTTGAATGAGGGATCTAGAATTGCCCTATTTATCTGCTATTCACATTAAGACTATAATTTCAGGGTGTCAAATTTTCAGGTGTCATCCTGCAGGGCAGAAGTCAGTCAGTCAGTCACACACAGGATTCAAAGTGTGTAACAATGTTGCTCTAGTGGCAGCATACATTTGACTGTAATGATGTCAATAAAAAAACAGATTCATCAGAGGGACTAGAGTGATTAGTCACTGTTGTTGAGTTTTTTTTTTTTAAATAAGCTATTTTGATTGATAAAACATATTAAAAATTTTTTTTTTTAAATATTCAGAAAACATGAGTTGTAAACCCTTTCCCTGGGTGCTATTGATACACACAGGCACATTGATGCACTAAAATGATAAAAATAATTTATCATATAGTTTAATGTACACAAAAGATGAAATAATTATTTTTACAAAATTCATCTAACATTTTATGTCACAGCGTGGGGTGCCTAACTAACAGTATGTTAGTTTCATTATGTATACATTTAATTCAATTGTTATTTATACAATTGTTATACTATATAATTATATGTATATAACTATTAAAGTCTTATATAACTATCAAAGTCTTACATAACTATCAAAGTCTTGCCCTGTATGCCCAACACACCTGAAGGCGTGAAAACAGATTCTTTACTTGACTATCAATGACACCTACACTTTTATTAGTGCTGTCATGTATTCCGGCATTCTTTTATCATAATTTTACCTAAAATGATTTCTCCCTGTTTCTGATGTTTGTGATAAGTTGTCTTTATGTCTTAATCTCTTTCAGAACATTTAGATTATTCATTTTGACTCTTTCTATTGTCAATATCTGCCGCTAAGCGTCACAGTTCATCAGACAATCAGCAGCTTTGTCATTTTGACTGCCGAAGGCATTTTAAATATTTTCCTGCAGAACCACCGCTCTGAATTTTTACTTGTTTAATAATTTAAGCAATGAAGACATACACATATATTGGACAGTTTATTGCCTGCCATATTTTGCTATATCTCAACAGGCGCAAATGTAGAGTGCATAAACATGTAATGAAGTAAAAAAAAAAACTGCTTTAATAACTCTTGTTATGCTTTGCTACATTGAACCTCATATGAAAGGAAGTCCAAGATTACCCACATGATCAAAGTGGAAGTGTATGACCTTTTTCATTCTGTTTGAAGTTTTGAACAAGGGATCAACATCATGGCACACGGGTAGTAACCCATAAGTGTTCCGTTCTACTTCTAACTGAAGTCTGAGTCCAGAGAAGCTTAGCATGGTGCACAGGCACTGTAGAAGTGGCAAGGATCCTGAAATACTTTGGGTAGATTTTTAACTCCAAATTTTGCCAGGGCAGTGCCGTTAGGCTACTCTTTTCAATTTCCAAATGCCAAGGGATTTTTGTACGTGCGCAACAATGCACACGAGCGTCCGATCTCACTACCCAGAAACCAGAAAGAATTACTAGAAGTACAAGCCCATGTGAAAAAATTCCAGCCTTTTCCGGGGGTTGAACCCGGAACCTCTTGCACTCGAGGTGGACACTATGCCTCGAGACCATGCAGCCCCCTCCCTTTTATTCAGGAAACCTTGAGGAAAGAAACCATAGAAACGGATTATCCCAGAAAAAATAAAACCTTGAGAAAAAAGTACATTACACATGGTTTTTTTTTTGGTGTTAAATTAATTTTAAATTGTTTAAAAATTAGTTTCAATATATATGAAGCCAAATAATTAAAAAAAAAAAAAAAAACACGATTGAAGCAGAGAATGCAATGAATGCCATTCCTCAGTCTTAAAAATTCAATAAAGCAGCCTGTCACTAATTGACCAGGGAATCTAAACAGCGATTTGTGATGTCCTAATGCCAGTTTTTATTTGTTTTTACAGTCGTAATCCCACCCTTTCCCCCTCCCATCAAGTGCTACTTGTAGTCATATAATCATATACGAACCTTGTAAACACTGTACAGGTTCAAGTAGAACCAGCAGCATTAACTAGATATAACGGGGGCTGACCAAAGATGTGAAGGTCAAATAGATTCTTGGGGATTTATAATGCATGACAGATTGGAAATATTGCTTTTTTTTTTTTTCAGAGACTTTTTTAATTGATCCTTTTTTTGGGAAGGGGGGGGGGGGGGGGTGGGGGGGGGGATACTAATCACATCTTAATTGCCACTGCTTCAGCAATTATTATTAACAACCTGATTAGTGTGGGAAAAAAAAATAATAAAGAAGGCACAATCCCTATCAGTAATGTGTTATAAAACATATATACAGTTCATAGGAGAGTGTGTAATTGTATGTGTAGTTATTTAAATTCATGGAATCATCATTTTCTGTGGTTGAAACCTTTGAAATAATATGAGAGATAGATTAACGTAGTAATGTAAAGAAATAACTACTGAAATGTCATCTCTCTGACAGTGTTCTTTTTTCTTTTGATTATCAGAGTATTCAAGAAGAGCAGCCCAAATGGAAAAGTGAGTCCTTTTCTGTTTCCATTTATACATCTACATTTTTAATTTCCAATTTTCTCCTATCTTCTGTCTCTTCATAATTCTTACACCTTCATTTCTAGATCCATATTTTATTTCTAGCTAAGGCGTATTTGACCTGTTTACCTGTGCTAGGTTATATTTTAATTTATCTCCGAACATTATAATTCTTAAAAACATAAGTGTTTGGTGCAGAATTGTAATCTTTCTTTGAGTTTTCTTAGTCTTAAAGTTTGATTAATAAATAATTTTAGTAGTATCTGTATATATGTATGTTTATATAAACATATATATATATATATATAAAATATATATATATGATCGCCTCCGCCTGTCGGCAAGACATATATATATATATATATATATATATATATATATATATATATATATATATATATATATATATATATATATATATATATATATATATATATATATATATCATCATCATCAGGTGTCTTGCCGACAGGCAGGGGCGATCATGCCTCTCCATAATCTGCGATCTCCTGCAGCATGTATCAGTTCGTGTGCCGACACACCTCCATGCCATGCAACAAGACTGTCAAGCATCTTTTCTCGTTGTCTTCCTCTATCTCTCCTTCCGCATATCTTTCCAGTGGTCACAACATGTTCTATTTTTCCTCTTCTCATAACATGACAGAAAAATGATGACTGTCTCCTTCTGATGTCTGTGATAAGTTGTCTTCGGGCTCCTCTCTTTCAAAACCTCTTGGTTGCTCTTTTTGGCTGTCCAAGGTATTCTAAGCATTCTTCTGTTAAACCTCATCTCCGAGGCCTCTAGAAATTGTTTGGCCTGCCTATCGATTGTCCAGGAATCACAGCCATATGTTAAAACTGGATGTATGTAGCAAGCAAGAATTCTTTTTCTAACTCTCAATGACAAGGATATGTTGCACAAGATGTTTTTCATTTTATAAAATGCAGTTTTTGCCTGTCCTATTCTATTTCTTATCTCAGTTATGCATCTTCCATCTGATGTTATCCATGTGTCCAGATACTTAAATTTCTGTACTTGTCCTAAAATAACACCATCAACTTTTATTACACACTTAGGAATAATTTGTTTCTTTGATACCACCATTATTTCTGTCTTCCCATTTTTCAAACTGAGGCCCATTCTTCCACTTTCTAACACCACAATGTCTATCATTTCCTGTAGTTCTTTCTGACTTGTTGCTATCAAGACTGTGTCATCAGCATAACGTAAATGTTTATATTGTGCCCACCAACCACAATTCCGGACATACCAATTAAAGCTCTCATTATATATTCACTGTATATTGAAAACAAATCAGGTGACAGTACACATCCTTGTCGTACGCCCCTCTTTATGCTTTGAAATGTACCTAAACAGTTGTTAATTCTTATAGCTGCTGTTTGCTGCCAATACATATTCTTTATTATTTGTAGATCTTTCCCATCAGTGTTTAATTTTTCTAAAGTTTGATTACTTCTTCATGCTTCACACAGTCAAATACTTTTGTATAGTCTGTGAAGCATATGTACAAATCAGTCTTTACTTCTATAGCTCTTTCTGACAATGTCCTTAAGATGTATATGGCATTGTTTGTACCTTTTCCTTCTACAAATCCACATTGTTCGTAGCTGATTTCTGGTTTAATTTTGTTTCTTATTCTTCTCATAATTATTCTCAGTAAAATCTTAGTCATGTGACTCATAAGACTTATTGTGCGATGGTCTTCACATTTTAAAGTGCCTGGTTTCTTTGGCAGAGCTATAAATATGGATTTTAAAAGGTCATTTGGAATATACCCACTATTATAAATATCATTAAAAAGTTTAGTTATTATTTCAATTCAAGAATCTCCCAGTGCTTCGATTTCTTCCAGTGAGATGTTGTCTGGCCCGGGTGCTTTTCTTTTCTTCATATGATGTATTGCATCCTCAACCTCTGCAGTCATTATTGGTGGACCATCATTGTTGGTCTGCAGTTCTACATCTGGTCTATTATCATCATACAATTCCCCTATATACTCTGTCCATCTGTTAATTATATTACTATGTCCCATTAATAAGTCACCATCTTTTGATTTCAAACATCCAGTGCTGTTACGTGTCATCTTTCCTTTTAACATATTTATCTTTTGGTACATGGAATGTGAGTCTTTCCTGTTGTATGTATATATATATGGTTATATAAACATACACATACTACTAAAATTATTTTTAAATTAAACTTTAAGACTGAGAAAACTCAAAGAAAGATTAAAATTCTGCACCAAACATGCCTTCTGCTATAATTTTTTCCAATCCTTGGTGGCGCTTAATATGATTGAAATATTTCAGCTTTTATATATCACCAAATCTATTCAATATATACGCAGAAAATATAATGAGAAATATAAAAAATTACCAGACTTGTGACATTTATAATCTCCCAGTCCTTAAGAAAGAGAATAGAGGCGTTTGAGCTGAAACGCTGTAGAAAGATTCTTAGAATATCTTGGTCAAAGAAGAGGAGAAATACTGACATCTTCAAAGATCTGAACATCAAGAAAGACTGGCTAATAAACAGCATCCTGTCTCGGAAGCTGAAATATTTCGGTCATATTAAGCACCAGGACGGATTGGAAAAAAAGTATAGTAGAAGGCATGGTACCAGGAAGGAGGGGCAGGGGCATGTTCTGAGAAATGTTTTACTTAATGCCTTAGATGTGTCTCCCTAATGCGTTATAAATGTCCCACATCTCCTTCTTCCTCCCACTCTTCTGTCCTCTCCTATTTCTCTGTCTTTGTCCCTATTTATCTGTCACTGTCTCCCTATTTTCTCTTTTTAATCTGTCACTTCTTCCTCTCTCTTTGAATCATTTCTCTCTCCCCCTGTCTTCCTTTCCGTCTTTCTTTCTTTTCTAAATTTTTCATTCATTATGTGCTTTTTTCTTGAAATTCTCGGATTTATATCTTAGATTCTAATTTTAAACTTTGAACTTTTAACTTTAAAACTAATATTGTCAACTGATTAGCTATATCTACTTTCTCCGTCAATAATATTCATTTAAATAATCAGGTATATAGTGTACATAGTCATTTTTATAAATTACGCAGTTGAGGATGCAGTACTTTACACCATTTTTAACATAGATATTGGTTTTACAAAAAAAAGCAAAACATCTGTTTTTAAAACAGAAGCTTAAGCTTCCTATACTTCTGATCATAATCACAGATGTGGATTTGGAAAAATACTTCAGCAATCTATGGCTAGATAATAGGTACTGCAAGGTCTGTTAAAAAAAAAGTATCTGACTTGTTTGTCCCCACAGAAGTAAATAAAGTACAGGAGATATAGTTTGTCAGAAAAGGTGTAAGGGACCTTCTAGAACATTGCATACACTTTTTTCCTCACCTGCTGTGAGTGTCTTTCACTGGCGTTAGTTTGTGAATGGGTTAGGATAGTGAACGTTGTCTGACATTTGTTTGCTGCAAAGTGACAGAATGTTTTGAGAAGTGGTGTTGCATCAAATTGTGATAAACCCTTTCCAAACACCAAAGGGAAAACCACTCAGAAGCTTGGGCGTCTTTAGTGACAATGCCATGAGCATCACAGAAATCAAGGAGTGAGGCAGTTGGTTCAAATATAGATGGAAAGCTACAGGAAACTGCACGACTGCATGTAACCTCATCTGTCTCAGAGCTTTAAAATGCCAAAGACATCTAAAAACAAATCTATAAAATTGAACTACTGACCAGATACAAAAACTACAGACCAGAGCATGTTGTAAGTTGAGGAAAGAAAGACAAAATAGAATTGCCATTAAATCATTCTTGATGTTTGACTACAGAAAGGTATATTTCAAGGTAAAGAGTAGAACTCAAGATCTTGATGACAACTATAACAATTGATAGAAAGATAACCGGGGAGGCAGGATAAATATCTTGATGGCTTGGCCCTATGCATGGGGCGAGGACAAATTATGGCCGCTAATGTTTTTCGACGGGGCATGTGGTGAGGATATTTTCAGGGAGAATTGTTTGTTTGTTTGTTGTTGTTGCTAAAAATGGGGCAGTGGTCCAAAACAGTTTGGGAACACTTATCCAGAGGATCTGATCCTTATTGACTCTGCATGCATCTTTTAACTAATATTTTGTTTTGTTTTTCGATAGATAACAACATACCTTGGCAAACGAGATTTTATTGATCACCTGTCTCATGTAGATCCCATCGGTGAGTTAAAAAAAAAAAAAAGATTTCCTTGGTCGCATAGACCCTGTTGGCATGTGCCGTTATTTTATTGATTCACTGATTCACAACTAAAACATTGATGAGTGTATTTGTTGGATTGATTTATTGTCTCAGATATATCCTTTGATGTGTATAATTGTTTCATTGATCCATTACCCAGCGATTTTGTCACAGGCGTTAGAAAAAGTTAAGACTGTTGTGCTGTGTATAAGAAGTTTGAAACCCTTCAATCAATCAGTCACTCAACCAACAGGTCCAACAGGCTGCTCTCTTCATTGGCGTGCCTGAAAGTCTCTATTTCTCTGGCCAGTTCTCCAGCCCTCTTTGCTTTCGTAGCCAATGCATCTTTAATGTCTTGGTCCCACCTTTGGGGAAGCTATGAGAAAAATGAAGTAAAAAACTTGGACACTACTGGCAGACTTGATAGATAAAAAAGAGCAAGGGTGAGACAGTGAGGTAAATACCTGGATGATTGACTACATGGCATATCAGGACAAGAATAGAGACATGGAACATATATGCTACTGCTAACTTTTTTTTTTCAATTCTTTATCTTCAAGTTTTTACGATTTCCACTCAGATGGTGTTATCCTTGTGGATCCAGAGTATCTCAAAGAGAGGAAGGTATTTGCTCATATCTTGGCTGCCTTTCGCTATGGTCGTGAAGATCTGGATGTTTTGGGACTTACTTTCAGAAAGGATCTTTATTTATCCTCAATGCAGGTTTGTAGTGTTTTTTATGGGGGGTCTTCAGTGCAAATTTATAGTGAACCTGCTTTAAGGTTTGAGGTTTTTAAAATATAATGCAAAATATAATGAATTTGAGTTGATTCATTTGAAGTCTACACACCTGTGTAGTATACTGCACATTTATTTTTAAAATGTATAATCACTGCATTAGTGATTAGTGATTAGAAAGGATTATCATCACAGCACTCTGGACAGATCCATAGGTGCTCCGATCTCCTCCTTAAAAACTCCACAAGTGTAAAATGACTGATGATGTCTGTTCTGCGTTGGTTAATGAAACGTCTTGTCCCCTTAGTGAAATATTCATTTTTTGCAGCACCAAGCTGCACCCGCATGTCCTTCAGTCTAGACAGGGATATGGAGTCATGTCCTTTGGCGTGCTCCTCGGTACGGTAAGTGCAGTGCATCACTTCTGTCCAGTACTGGACCAGCCATAGCAACTGCAGTGTCAGCCAATAGTCTGCAGACTCGTTCCCTTGAACACCTGCATGACCTGGCACAAAGATGAAGGTTAGGGCAGACATTCGTGCAGTCTTTAGTGTTGCAATCCATTCTTGCCTGATAAATCCAGCTTGGATTTTTAAAACATATTCATCGAGTCACTAAGAATGCATACGTGGGTGAACTTTTGAGTACCAAGCCATGCCAAAGCCCTTGTTACAGCCATAGTTTCAATTGTAAGGCTACTAGTTGTAATAGCAAAGGCATCATTCATCTACTTGATGTTTTCCTCCCTGAGCTTACTGTGAAAGCCCATGCACTTTGTTTGCCCTAATTACTGACCCATCTGTGTAAACTATAGCATCACCTTTCTCTGTTTTTGTCAATCAGTGTTCTGACTAAAGTGTCAACAATGCCAGGAATCTGCTCTCTACGGCTTCCATCTAGTGTGATATGGACTGTAATATTAATGTTTGGAGAGGGAGGCATAATTATCCATTCAATTCCAAAATTAATGTCAGTGACGCGGCAAACATGTTTGATGGCATCCTCAGCCCGATCCATCTGGGATTTGCTTCGTTTGAGTCTTCTCTTTTCTTGCTTGAATAATTCCTCATAAAGTTGGTGTCAGTGGTCTGACTTCACTTTGAGGATAGCAACAGCCCTGGATAGCTTGATTCTGTTTTCCCTAATGGGGAAATCCAAGACGTATCGCATGGATTTATAGGAGGTGTATCTAGTGCATCCAAGAATAATACACATTGCTTCGGTTTCAATTTTTTCCAGTCTGTTCATCTGTGTGGTGCAGAGTGTCATGATGGCCAAGGCATATTCAATGGGGGAGAGAACTAATGCACGATACAACATTACAAGTAGCCATTGCTCAAAGTGTGCAGCTCCCAAATCTTTTATTGCGGAGAGACCTTTCTTGGTTTTGGTTATAATGGGGTCTACATGTTTTTTTAAATGCTAAGCATCTGTCAACTGTTATACCCAGGTATTCCATGGAATCAGATCTCTCCATGTCAGTGCCACAGAGTTTTACTATCGGCATTGTTGTTTTGGAAGGTGATTATTTAATGAGAACCAGGTGACTGTTGCTTTTGATGGATTAATTATTGCCCCTGAGGTGTTGCACCAGGATGATATGCGATCTAATTCCGGTTGTAGATCTGAAACAATGTCATCTCTGTTCCTGCCCTGTCTCTACACGAGGATGTCATCCACATATGAAAGAGTTTTTCCTCAGCCACGCAGTTGTTCTCCTGTGATCTTGACTGTGAAAATGTTGAAGAGGCTAGGAGACAATGGAGAACCCTGTGGCAAACCAGGGTGTATTGTTAACAGCTCAGAAGACCAACTATCACATCGAAGCACGACCTTCCTCCGGAAAAGTGCGGCAGATATTCCTCGAGTGTGATGTGGGAGGATGTTGAGTTAATTTAACTGACACATTAGTTGGTGAAAGGAAACTCTGTTGTATGCTTCCTCCAGATCTATGGCGACTGCTCATGTTTTAAATCTAGCTTGAAAACTTTCAAACATGTCATGTGCAAAGTCGGCAGCATTAGGCCATGTCTCCGTATTTTGTCTGTATCCTCCAAGTGTGGAGGGTAGCAGCTGATGTGTTTCAACATAGCTTGCCAGTCTTCTCGCTATGATCTTTTCCAATGTTTTGCCAATACTTCTGCATCGTAATGATTCTATAGCCATTTAAGTGCGTGGTGTCTTTGCCAGGTTTTTCTAGTGGAATCAAATAGCTATGCAGCCAGCTTTCTGAGATGGTATCATTACAGATGCTGTCATTTTAGGCTTTACATAGGACCTCCATGGATTTTGTGGGCATCTTGGTAATGTCTTCATAATAAATGCCATCAGGGCTAGGAGCAGACTTCTTTGATGTTTTGATGATGTTCTTAATTTCAGCGACCGTAATTAGCTGAGCATCTTTAATGCCTGTACCGGCACATGTTGCAGCGACCATATCCATGGTAGTCTGGCGGTGGCAGTGTCTTGCATGCAAATTGCTTGAGGTATCTGTCAAGAAGTGCTCTTCCTTTCTCTTCCTCAGACATGTTCCATGTCTGGTATTCATTACGGAAGTGTCTAATGCCTCTGGGAGCACCTGTCATAGCCTTGTACCAGAATTTTGCAAGAGATCTTTCCTTTGCCCCCCGTCAGACTATCACGTCATTCCATGTTGATGTAGAAGGTCTTTAATGTCATCAGTCCAAGAATTCAAGCATGTTCATAAGATTACTGTATCTAGTAAGAGTAAAATTGTACTGACCCGCTCTGGCTGTACTAAACTACTAATTAATATTTTCTGTGAACAGTGAATTTTTAACCATAAAAAAAAAAAAGGATTTTGATAGTAGAAGATAATATAAATCTTTAGTTTTGTATGCACACCATTTTACATATCTGTTTTATTTTCATGCAGATTGTTGGTTTTTTGCCTCTCAGGCAGATGCGCTAAGGCTTCGAAGGAGTTATAAATAATTTGCTAGGGTCAGTTCATGTTGTTTGACACTTTGCAGCAATCATGGGATTTACATTTAGCATTGTCTTTTACAGGTTTACCCACCAGTGCAAGATGGCAAGGAATCCAAACCACTTACCAGACTTCAGGAGAGGTTGATAAAAAAGCTGGGACCAAATGCCTTCCCGTTTTGTTTTGAAGTTAGATTTTTTAAAATAATAGTCATAATTTGTTATACTCATATAATAACCATATCATGATTGTTGTTGGGACTGTTTTTATTGTTGTTTTAAACTATTTTGTTCTGTTCTTTATGGCTCAGCTTGTGTCACCCAGGCTATTACATTTTCATTCCTGTCTTTTTTCCATCCCTATAATTATCATGTTATTTTATTTTTTAAAAGACTAAGCTCTGCCTATATTGGTCACAATGGATTTTTATTATTGACTAATTATCCAGAGACATAATTAGACACCCTCTCCTCTCCCCCCAATAAAATAGCTACTATCTGCATATGATCAGTGCCTATTCTACAGTGTGGGAGCAGACTACAAAATCATTTAAACAGGCTAGGTTCAACATTCAGAAAATAAAACATGAGAGTAGATACAACTAAAACTGAAATAATGAAGATCAGCAGAATTCCTTGTCTGCTGTATATAGGGATGATTGATACTTGTCTTCTCTTCTTCTTCAGCATTCCAAGCCCTTGAGTTTCATTGCTGCAGATATCACCCGCCTCCCTTCATATCTCTGATTGGCCTTCTCTTTCCAGTTGGTAACACCAAGTGTTCGCAGGTCTCTGTGGACATTGTCTCTCCATCGTCTTCTTGGCCTACCTCATCTGAAACAAGTTAAAGAATTTAAACATTAGGAAGTATATTCTTGGATGACAGGAGAATAGACGGAGTAATAGAAACAAAATGCCAGCGAGCCAGTGCACTTAGAAAAAATCTAAGGTTTTGAACCAACATTTTATATGAAAATTCTAAAATGAATCAGTGACATAGTGGCTTCTTCACATTCTGAATATCAAGGCTCATTAACATTATCATTTATCAAAAGCTTGAACACTTTAACCATTCTAAACACTCAGAAGATATGATTATTTATACAGACCGTTCAGTGACAAGAGGCAAAAGAAGTGCTTTGGGTTTCTTAACAAAGGTTAATGGTCGACGTTTGATGCAGGAGAGCCTAGCATATGATATCACAACATCCAGCTTAAGAATAGAGGTGAAGGCAGCCACTGCAGCTTTCCGCTGGTTAGAGAACAGGACACACACACCCATGGTGATTGTAACTGACTCAAAAAGCATGCTGAGGAAGATCAGGACAGGCATGCTTCATGCAGAGTGGCAGGCTTCACTGCGGAGGACACAGGTGAGGAGTATTGTATGCATTTTTTCTCTGGGGTTATGCCAGTGTGTTGGGAAATAAACAGGCAGACAGACAGACTGGCTGGCTCTGCACAACTTGGTGGAATTTTGATGCATAGGGCAGATGTGGTTGGGGCCTTGTGGGAGAGTGTGTACAGTTCAGAGTAGCAGATTGATCACCACAGTCTAGTGAGATTGATGCAGTGGGAAGTGACGAAGGGTTCTGGCTGATGCTCCAGGCTCAGAGGAAAGGCAAAAACGAGGTTTAATCAGAATGCCAATCAGTATTGGAAGTCTGCACTGACTGCTGAAGATGGGGATGAGCACTTATGGAATGCCACGAGTGCTGTGATGTGGGTTCTTGAATCAACTCAACTCAAACACCTTGATGATTCTGAGATAGCTGTAATGAGAAGTATGGTTCCTGGAAGAATAGGCAGGGATTGACCATTATGATGATAAACATACAAAAAATCGGGGGCACACTCTGCATGAAATTTCATAAAGTTCAGAACAGTTGTCAAGGGACCAAGTGCCTTACAGGTGTGCCATGATGAGAGGGATGTTTTGCAAAGTTAATGATGATTGAAGAATTAAAGGACTATTGAACACAATCATTGCCCAGGCTTATAGACATTGTTAACACTAAGAAAAATCAGCTCAAGGCGAACATCTTTGTCAAAGCTTGATTAGGAAGTTGAAATATCAGCTCAAAGAGTCTGCAGCTTCATGTTAATAATTTGTGTTCTTGAATATTATTTGTTAGTTTATTTTACAATTTTGTTTTCTTTTAGCTACCACCAAATTCGCCAGCTTCTGTTACACTACAGCCTGCACCCGGTGATACTGGCAAGGTAACTCACCTGTGTTTAGCTGTATGTATGTAGTTATGATGGTCAAAACCTGAATGCTATAGATTTCTGCAGCTGTTTTATAGATAGCCTTCTAAACTGTGTTACATTTCAAACTTGCTATACAGTCATATTAATTGCATATCCCCAAAACAAACTTCAGGCTCTGGCTGAAACTGTTGTCAGGGTCTTTAGTTTTGGTGGAATTTATCTTTGGAATAGATTTATTTCTCATTGTGAAAACTCTCTGTGTTACATATTTTGTAACAGCTAAGAAGTGATTATGGTCTAAGTCATCCCCATAGTAGCAGTGAGTTTGTGAGAAAGATATATATATATATATATATATCTGTCTTTCATCATTCATCAAGTACCTTGCTGAATGGCATGGGTGTTAACACCTCTCCACAATCCGCAATCTTCAGTAGCATGTATCAGTTTGAGTGCTAACTCCCCACCATGCCATGACAAAAAGTTCTCTTACATATTCTCGCATTGTCTTCCTATGTCTTTTTTCCACATTTCTTTCCAATAGTCAACACATGATCCAGTTTCCTTTACTAGGAAGGACACATTTGATCTATTGTTCTTTTGCTCATTAATCAGGTTCCCTTACCTCAGTGATAATAAGGTGAAATAGTGTCAGTGTCCTACATATTTCCTTGACACCTTACAAAAGTCTTTTATTTTGAAGAAGGAATTTGCAATATGTAGGTAATTGCTGGTACAGAATTCCAGCAACCTTTGCCCATTTTCATTAATTTTTTACTGTATTATCTAATTCTTTATAATACAAAGAATATTTTATCCTCAGTTGATGCTATTGTAGGTGCATTTGCAATAGCAACGTTCATCTATGCAGCACACACCAGTACTTAAACCAAATGCCTCTTTAAAACTTGACACTGAAAAGCAGAACAGGGTTAAGAGAAAAGATGAAGAAGTATCAGAAATCCACATGGGTTATATCAACACAGAGATAAACTTTGCCTGTGCAGAACAGAATTGAGGAAATTAAGTGGTTTGCTAGAATCACTAATCTTGAGCTTTGTGAGAGAATAAACAAATTCCACTGAATCAAGAGGTGAGGAAAAGGCACTGGAAAGGGATAGGACACATGCTACGAAAACCTGGGAAACAATATAACTAGAAGGGATACATAAATATAGGCAGACCAGAAACTTTCTCTTGAGTAAATGACAGCTTCTTTTCCTCTTCGTACTTCTATTCCTCTTCCTCCTCGTCCAACTATCCAAGTGTTTGAGGTAGATATAATGATCTTTTCTATACTCTTTCTAGTTAGTTAGTTAGTTAGTTAGTTAGTTGGGTTATCATCATTGCACTCCGGACATGTCCATAGGTGCTCAGATCCTCCCCTCAGTATGAATCCCAACGTCCGATGGCTAATAGTACCAGTTCTATGTTGATTAACAAATCTTCTGACGTGTCCGGTGTGCGTCTCGTTTTTTGCTGTGCCGATCTTAATTCCCAAGTCTGCCATTCTGGCGAGTGATGTGGATTCACTGCCACCAAAGTCCTCTATCCTTCCCATTTCTCTGAGGGCATTGATAATATCAGCATGATCCATAGGCCGACCGTCGGTAGTGATAGCGGATCCAGCCAGCCTGTCAGCTCTTTCATTTCCATCGACGCCTGCGTGTCCCGGAACAAAAATAAAGGTGACTCCTCGCACAGTGGACTTCTGAATTGATTCAAGCCATTGTCTTCGCACTGAACCTGCCTGAACCCTCCGGATCATACTCATTGAATCACTGAGTATACATATGCGGGTGTATTTTTGTGTTTCAAGCCAGGCAAACGCTTGCGTCACTGCCATCACCTCCATCGTCATGCTGCTGGTTGTCATGGAGAAGGCGCCGTTGCCTTCTTTGACTGTTCTGCCCGCTGAGCGTGCTGTAAATGCCCATGCGCTTCTTCTTTGGCGTATAACGGATCCGTCTGTATAGATTAGTGCATCTGCTTCGTCTGAATTTTCACCGATGAGAGCGTTGACCTCTGCATTAACAGCAACAGGATTCTCTTCTCTACATCGCCTGTTGAGTGTGACAATACAGGAAAATGTACAAATAAACGCCTGAGGCACAGGTATCCATTCTGCACCAGGTATGATGTCGGTTAGGCTGCATATTTGCCTAATAACATCTTCTGCCCGACCTAGCCATGATTTTCCCCTCTTCAGTCTGTCGCCCTTTTCACTAAAAAGTGCTTGATGCAGTGGGTGTTTCTTATCAGCACATATTTTGAGGTATGCCCGAGCCCTCCACATCCTGATCCTTTGGTTCATTGTTGGAAAGTACTCTTCAAAACTCTTTCTAGTGCTCTGCATAAGCTGATCTTAATTTCTTTGAGGCTGTTCTTGGTACTGTTGTTCCATTCATTGCATGTTCCTCCAATTACTCTTGTGTTCTTGATTTTCTTTAATGTGGCTTTATGTGGCAATTGATACTAGGTAATTCTTATCAGATCACCAGACCATCTCGTCTATTGCTCTATAATGACTGGTTTCAGTTTTAGTCTTCTAATTACAATTACAACTGCTTTTAGAAAGTCTCTTTGATGTTAAAAACCCTGGCAACAGTGTAAGGACCATGTGTTACCCATACATTATGATCTATCTTCCGGCCTGCCATTTTAAAACCCCCCCCCCCCCCACCCCACCCCAATACGAAAAAAAATAAAAAATAAGGAGGTAAAATCGAAAGGTTTAGAGCAATTAGAGCAAAGCTTGCTTTAGAGGCTGTCCTACCCATCTGTCAGGGCTTCCCTCTTAGACCGAGTCTGCCTTTGTACAGTGAGGCTGCATTTCCCTGTACTAGGATGTAGCTAGTATCTATACTGTATAAATTCATTGCCAGAAATGGATCATTATATTTATTATAAAATTTAACATATTTCAACAGCCTTGTGGAGTTGATTATGAGCTGAAGACATTTGTGGCTGACAATATTGATGAAAAACCACATAAAAGGTGAGTGCCAGAATTAGTATAACATACAAAAGATTCTGCAACGTAATATAAGAGATTCTCTAACCCAGCAATCATACATGTGGAATAAGGTCACTTTTTATGAGTATTTGATTGTAATTTAATTTACTTGGTACCTTCAAGTACAGTTCATTTCTTATAACAGAGGGAAAATGGTTGCCTGGGTCTCTAAAATCTTTGTAATTGCTGCTTGATTCTTTTCTAAAACCAGAATTTTAACAGAACACAAGAGTTTGTTTAAGATTGTTTGTACCTGTATTTATTTACTTTATATGTGTCAGTCTACTTACTTCTGTGCTGCTATAGCTGGAGGGGGTAGAGGAATAGAAGTAGGAGGAGTGTTTTTTACCATGCTAAGTGTAGGAGGTCAAGATTTGACTCTGTTAAAGATCACCAAGTCTGTGTTTTTTTCCCCCTTCCTTTTGCCATCCAAGCCATCTGGGTATTGTCTCTTTGTCTTCCATTTGTTTTCTTCTTATGCTAAATATCTAGACTGCCCAAGCCTAATTTCAGTGTAGTTTTTTTTCGTAGGTCTGTGGTTCCGTCTGTCAGAATCTGTATCTGTTCTCAGCAACTGTAAAGCATTTGTTATACTCTTGTCTTCACATCATGCTCTTGTATAGTTTCTTTGATGTTATCTGTCTGTATTATTCTTTGTTGGCTTCATGATCTACATTCCTTTCCACTGTTGGTATATGCTCTGCATCATACCGCAAAGCATTTCTCTAAGTGGGCAAACCCATTGATTTGTTGTCTTTGTATTAATTTAGAACCGGTACTGTGGTGAATTTTACTTTAATGACCTCACTCATTCCTGATTTGATCTCCTATGTCCACTCCTGCGGCCCTTCTCAGACATCTTATTTCCATGATTACTAAATCTTTTTTTTTTCTGGTTTGTTCTGAGTGACCATGTCTAGCACTGGTAGCATAGTAAGTATGTGCTTTGTATAAAATGTTACTTTGTGCTCATTGGGATTGCCTTATGCTGTTAGAGGGGATTAGCTGTCCCAGTAATTGGTTTGTTTTACTGCATTGATTGGTAATTTCATTTTCCATTTTACTATCTTTGATAAATGTTTTCTCAGATGCTTGTTAAATACATTTGCACTCTGCTGCTATATTTACTTCTTCCCCTATTACTGGTTGAATTTTTTTTTCAAGCCCATTGCAACAAAATTCCTTGCAGTCTTTGTCATGTGACTCATTATTTTAACTGTTTAATATTGATTACATTCTGAGATCCTGAATTTTGGGGGATTTCAGTGAAGATAGAGCTATATAAACCAAGAGATGTGTCTTCAGTATTCTGGTGACCTGGTCTGTTCCATATTCTTCTAAAGCATTAACCATTTTAGCTGTGATGTCTGCATCAGTCTTTATATGAAAAAAATTAGTTTACCTAAAAACAAAAACAAAAACTATTCCTGTCAGCTTTGCTGACATGCTTCGCTAGACTACCTTCTGTCACTGGCACCTTGATCAGTTCATCTGCTGTGGTTGATTTGAATGGATGATGAGTTAACAGAAAGCAGACTCAAAGGAGATAGGAGTAAGGAGATTTTGGCACCAGCTGAGAGACCTCTGGGAACCTGATCAGTACCGCAGAACCCAAAGATAATGTCCAATCAGAAAAATACGTTTTTTTAGAGAATAAAAAAAGGTTTGACACAAAAAGAGATTAATATCCCCATTTAGAGGTCAGGAGTGAAGTAGTCTGCACGGGAAGCAGCACCAGTGCATGAAAATGCAGCAGTGTCAATGAAAATGCACCAGCCTGGAGAGTTTGAGTTGAATCCTCAAGCTCCACCTGGATATTATGCTGCAAGTTCGGCTAGGCTTGGGTCAGGGATCAGTTAGTACTGTCTACTAACTTTTCCAGACATGTTTATGTACTCCTTGTTTGGCAAGTCATTTGAGGAAAAGTGATTTGAGAAACTGGAATGCCTGATTCTGGAAATTAAAAAGTCAGTTGCGAATTCATTAGCAGAGACTAACACGATACTTGCAGGCAAGTAGGAGTTATTGAATAAACAACACCTGCAGACAGAAATCAGCATGTGAGGCATCTCAGATATCAAAACAAACTTTCCGCAACAGCCTTTTATTGAGCAGTTGTCAGTTTTCACCGGTGCCATCAGCATCTCTGGTACTTCCTTCATGGCATAAAACACAAGCTCGGACTGCATCTGTTTCATCTTCATTGTCTTACGCTTAAGCCGTCAAGACTGCAGCAAGTCCCAGCGATGATCAAAAGTTGATCCAGCAGAGGCCAGTGTCTTAATTAGCCGACTGTCATGAGCCTAGCCAGGGGCCTGGATCCATCTTTGCAATTGAAAAAAAAAATGGTAGACAGCAAGGGTCTGACAGACACTGAGGACCTGTCTTTCAGCAAACTGACAGAATTAGACTCTAGTCTTTCTTAAACGTATTCCACAGGCTACAGTGGTTTATTCTGTTCAGTGATTTTCTGTGTATTTGCTGGCAAATGTGATAAAAAATGGCATTTGTCTGGTAGTAACTTATTAAATGTTCTATTGAGAATATAGAAAACAATGCGACTAAAACAATGAAAATAAATTACAAACATCCATTAAACTGGTGTGTAGAAGAAATCAAATGGTGTGACAGAATACCTCATCTGGAGCTTTGGGAGAGAACAAGCCTCATTAAACCAAGAGGTGAGATGAAGATGCAGGCAACAGACAGAACACACATTAGGTTTGAGGTTTTGAACAACGGATCAACATCATGGCACACAGGTAGTAACCCATAAGTGCTCCTGTTCTTCTTCAAATCATGTCCGAAGAAGCTCTGTAGCACTGGCAAGGATCCTGAAATACTTTAGATAGATTTCTAACTTCAAATTTTACCCAGCAGCGCCGTTAGGCTACTCTTTTCGATTTCCAACTGCCACAGGATTTTTTATGTGCGCAACAGTGCACACTGGCGTCCGATCTCACTACCCAGCGACCAGGGGGAATTACTAGAAGTCCAAGTCTATGTGAAAAAATCCCAGCTCTTACACGGGGATTGAACCCGGAACTTCTAGCACTCGAGGCGGAGACCATGCCTCGAGACGATGCAGCCCCTATAGCACTGAGGTGAGGTAGTCTGGTCTAAAGTACATTGGGACAAAACGACTTTGGCAGCCTCACTGAGGGTATAGAACAAATGGATACAGTGAAAATATTACACAGATAAATACAATTCCAGGTAAAAAATACCACACATACAAAGAAGCATCTAAATACCTCCACACAAAAAAGCATCTAAATACCTCCACACAAGGAAGCATCTAAATACCTCCACACAAAAAAGCATCTAAATACCTCCACCCAAAGAAGCATCTAAATACCTTTACATGAAGCATCTAAATACCTCTATCATCACCATATTGTTCTAAACACATCACACAATCAATTCTTCCATCGTGGCCCGGTGATTTCTGTCACAAGTTTGAGGGAAAGTTAAGTCCGATATGATGTGTAAGGAGATACACGTACCTCACTCGGGCGCTAGCTCTTCACTGTTCTGGTTTTACGGAACCTCATGCAAGACTCCTGCTGCACTTCCTCATCCTGGGCCACAGATGATGTCTTAAATGAGCATTAACAGAGCTATCAGGGGATCCCAGAGTTGACGGCCCTCAGAGGTGTGGTGTCCTTTCTGGGTCTCATCAGCCCCTCCCCCCCCCCCCCCCAACCCCTCCCGCGCTGCTTTGCAGGGTGTCTCTTTAGACAAAGGCTATTGGAGTCAAACCATATACAAACCGGCGGAAGGCAAGGGGAAACCAGTGGAATACCTCGTCCGGTAGGGAGCATCATGTTCTACGGGTGATACCCGACCGTCATCCAGCTACTGTAGAAAAAGTAAATGGTAGAAACATCCTGAAAATGGTACATGGAATGTCAGAACACTCGTACAAAACGGAAAACTGGATAACATCAAGATGGAAATGAAGAGAATGAACATCAACATACGAAATTAGTGAAATGCGATGGCCAGGAGCACGGGAAAAGTATTCAGATCAGCACAGAATTATTTACTCAGGTGGGAAGGAATATAGCAAGGGAGTTGGTATTGTTTTGGATCCAAAGAACTCAAAAACTTGAAAGGATTTTGGACAATATCAGATAGAGTACTATTAGTAAAACTTCGCGGCAGACCGTTTGACATCATCTTAGTACAGATTTATGCTCCAACAGCAGATAGTTCAGAGGAAGATATTGACGCATTTATGACGAGTTAGACATGGCTGTTGATCAATACAAAAATTGTGAAGTAACAATGGTACTTGGAGATTTCAACGCGAAAATAGAAAGTGAAAAAGTGTATCGAATAACAGGTGGCTATGGCCTAGGAGAAAAGAATGTGAGAGGTGACAGAATGATAGCATGGGCTGAGTCGCGCAGCATGATAATAGGTAACACCTGGTTTAAACACCATAATCGAAGATTGTGGACTTGAAAAAGTCCTGGTGATAATGTCCGCAATCAGATTGATTATATTTTGATTTACTAAAGATTCTGGAGCAGCTTAGTTGGAGCAAAAACTAGACCTAGAGCAGACTGCTTTAGTGACCATGTTCCAGTTGTAGGAAAAATTAGAATAAAACTAAAGAACATTAGAAAAACACCACAGAACATCAAGTTAAATTTAGGAATTCTTAAAATGGATAACGAAATTAAGGAACAGTACAATGTCACTGTACAAAACCGGTATAATGCAATGGAAATTATACAGACTATTGATGAACAGTGGGATATGTTGCGCGAGTCAATTCAGCAGACATCAACAGAGACAGTCCCACCAACCCATAGAGTTGCAAAAAAGAAATAGGTATCAACCGATACTCTGCAGTTGATGGATGAAAGAAGGAAGAAAAAGAATGATAAAGAGGAATACTCTAGAATACAGAAAAGGAATTGCAACAAATGAAAAGTGGCTAAAGAAGCCTGGCTGAATCAAAAGTGTACAAA